ACCTACCTCCCAGGGCGGTTGTAAGGATTAAATGAGAACTTAAACATAACATCCTCAGTGAAATACCTAACGCCCAAAAAGTGTTCGATGGCTGGTGGCTATTTTAGAAATAAAGGCAAGCCATGTGTGGGTGTGGAGCAGTCCTGCACAAGAGGTTCAGAACTAAAGCTGTTACTGGTGCAAAGAACAGACAATGGCTTTGATAAGCATTCGCTTGTTAAGTAGCCACTAGCCAATGTCCCCATGCAAATTTAAATTCATTTCAAATTTAAATTTAAAATTCGTTTCCTCAGTTATACTGGCCACATTTTAAATGCTAACTAGCCACATGGAGCTGATGGCTGCTCTGTTGGACATTACAGATTTAAAGCCACCTTTGCGGAAAGCTCTGGCGGACCAGGCAGGTTTAAAGGGTCCATGCTGGGGTGAGTACCAGGGCAACCTTCCTGGGTAACTGGTTTACTGAATGCTCACATCAAAACTAGTCTTCTCTTTCCTCTTTATTTTTTATTTTACAGAATCTGAGGTTTATCAAAACTCTGTTACCCAAGAGTCTGCGCAATTTTTTCAAGCTGTTAGAATTTTTGATCACTGTTTACACCAGTGCATGTGAATGTATTGAGAGAGAGTCTATGATCAGGGTTGTCCTGGCTTTCTTGACTGAGTTTCTGAATTCTATCATTATCCTGAACATCTCTGCAATTTACCCATATCTGGTTATTAACATGTTATTTCTACACTCCTCCTCCTCCTCCTCCCCTCCCCTCCCGTGCCCCCACGTCCTCTGAATCGCAAGCTGGGAGCCTGTGAGAGTTTTTTAAAGTGATCATTATTTTCAGAGCAGCTGGTCCTTAACAGCCCCGGGTTGGTGACAGAGGTGACAGGATCTGTTTCTGCGGCTGTATTGTCCTAATTATATTCCTAATGGATCACAAGTCTGGGAACAAAGCGATGTTACATATTGCAGTGTCCGGGGGCAGCATTTTATGGTATGCTGGGAACATCTCAATGTCGCATGTGTAGCCAATGCTTTCGCTGTCATTAGTTAACCAAGCAGCGCGCGTGCCTCTTTCAGCTCCCTGACCCACATTTCATTCACGCTCTGCTGTTTTTCTCCTGCAGGGTTATTTCCTGAGTAAAGCCCAGAGCTTATGATTCCCCCAGCAGAGAGCTCTGTTCTGACCTCCCTAAAGAGGCAGTTTCACCTGCTGGGCTAGTGTTTTTCTGCTTCCTAGTCAATCTGTTAAGATTTTAGCAGGAGATTCTTGGATACCTTTTTCACAAAACATATGGGAGCTTGTAATTACTTTGGCCTGGTACAATTTTAGAATTGAGAGAGCAAGGAAGAGGTGCAAATCTCCTGTTCATAAATAACCAAATCTGTGGGCACTTTAAAAGGCATTCTGTGCAGGCAGGAGAATTTATGTGCCACATTTCACCCTTGGCACACTTTCCAAATGAATTGTTCAAAGAGAAGTTATATTAGGACAAATAGAAATGAAGACTAAGACCAGATGTGGATTTTTAGTTAATATTTATGCAACACCCAAAGGGAAGATAGTATTGCACAATAAACTAAAAATGTCTTAGGCAAATAAGGAAATCTTTCCCCCTAGGACCTGGCACTGCAAAGGTATGAATTATACAACAAAGACCTGGGAATGCAGAACAAATGCAGGGTAGGTCGGGGAGACTATAAAAAAGAATTCATTGAGGAAGTGGTGAGGTAGCAGATGTGTGGAACCTACTCTGGGAAAATAAGGGCTTAGCACTTTTTTGGCCAGTCTCGTGTCTAAGGTAGGAAAGTCAAGCCAGCCAGCCTCATTTCCTTCATCTGTGGAGAGCAACAGTAGCTTTAAGTAGAATATATTCAGAACTGAGGTAGTGAGCTCACGATGAGTGAGTACACCTTAATAAGCTAAAAAGCAATGTCCCCAGATTTGAAATGGTCTCCAAAGATAGCGATGACATCTTTTAACTGATTCTGCTCTCCCCCATTGATGTTCAAGGGAGGTGGAAAAGGCAGACTTTGGATGCTTCTCAGTCCTTGGAGAGAAGTCTGAAAGCAACCAAGGTTTAATGCATTGGAAGAATATTGAGACTCACATTAAATTAAAATAGGAAAATTTGTTAAAAGCAACACAGCTGGTTTTTCAGTCTTTCATTCATCAGGGATAGCAAAATGTACATTTCTCACCATCTCCCAAGCTCCCAATCTCCAGGAGTTGAGGGTAGGGAGAGGAGAAAAGGAGGAGGTGGGGGGGATGTGTGTGGAAAATATTTATTTAAAACTTTTGGAGCCTCGAAGTGAAGACAGCTCTGGAAATGCTTATAAGCTTTTAGCACGCTGAACCCAAACCTCTCTACTACCTTCATGCCTCTGAGTCCTCTTAATTATTAAAGAGAGCTGTCTGTGTGTGACTTACCACAGGTTTTCCTGCAGGTGCATCCTTAAGAATTTTTAACCTACTTCTTCCCCCTTTTCTGTGTTAATTCTTCATTATTTGACATGGACAACAAAACAGCTTACCTTATTCTCTCAATGAAAATTTGTGGATTTTCAGCTGCTATCAAGTTTCTGCTAAGCATGTTTATTTGTTCATTTCTTGTCAACATTTTGTGTTGTTTTGTTTTAGTTTCTTCTACCTGTCCAGATGTTACAGGCTCTGGGTATGATGTGGAAAACCAGGCTGATAAGGCTCCTGCCCTCTTGGAGCTGCCATTCTGGTGGGGTTTCTGGTACAATGCTAGTGTGAGCTGGGAAAGTATCTCTGGTGAGAACATTTAAGTTAAGATCGGAATGCCGAGAAGGAGCTAGAGAAGGTCTGGGAAGGCATCCTATGAGGAAAGAGAAGAAAGTGGTAAGTATCAGAGGAGGAGGATGTCTGTTGCTGACAATGTCAGGGGAGGGGAGGGATCAGGGCCAAATGAGGGCCTGGCTGGCCATGGTAAGAATCAAGAGTTTTATTTGATGTGCATCAGGAAATCATTGAACATTTTAAAGTAAAGAGAGTGTAGGTTTTCAAAAGAATCTTCTGTCTGATGCCTGAAGTTAAGACTGTGGGGAGCAGAGAGTAGCAGGAGTACAAATAAAACCATTTAGAAAGGTACTGCATAAGTCCATGCAGGAAGTGAAGGCAGTTTGGACTAGCGTTGGAGTAGTGTGGATGTCAGGGTCTACATTTTGGAGGTATATATCTAGGTTTTAGTTAACAACTAAAAGGATAAGAGAAAGTTGGAGGGAATAATAATAATAATAAAAAAAAATAATCACTTCTATTACACGTAGGTTCCTTTTAGGTTCCAATATTAACACGTAAATGCAGTGGAGGCATACAGATACCGAGGCACTTGATGGGTCAACTAACAGGATTTTTTAAACTTTTCAACAGTAAGCAGAGGTTATGGAGTTACAATAAAAAGGTAAAAGATCAGTCTCTGCCTTTAAAGCTACAACTCTGTTTTCCGTATGTTCCCGTATGTTTGTCTCAGGGAACAAAAATGTGTCTGTCGTGCATGGCAAAATAGGTATAATAAATATTCATCATTTCATCTGTGTCTACACAGATTTGTTTTCGTGAAATCAGGAAAATATGGAGCTGTGTTTCGCTGAACCCCAAATCACCGTATCTACTTTTCAGGCCACTGCCAGACATCCAAGAGATTCGATTTCTTGCCAGAGTCCTGGAAAGCTCCGCAGTTAGGTGTTTCCCCCCGAGGGCGGAGGGGTGGGGGGCGGGGTTGGTCAGCCCTCTACAGGTCTGTTTTCCAAGCATTGTGGTTGCCATGCAGCAGGGGGCGCTGCAGTAGTGCTCATCTTGGTCCCACGGCGCGCGTCGCCCAGCCAGAAGGGGGCCAAGCCAGGCGGAGGTGTGGCAGGCAGCCCGCTGTCCTCTTTGGTCTCGCAACTTTAGTACCCAGAGCTTGTCTACGCAGGCCATTCTTCTACACCATAATTTATCAGGTTGGACGCCTTCCATCCAGTCCTGCATCCGGGCGGAAAGGAAACGGCATTAGCTTCCCGCCTTCCTAGGTTTTGAGGCTAGCGCTGCGCTGGGCTGCAGAGGCGTCTCTTCTCTAATGTTTCCAGAGTCAGCCTGAAAGTCCCCCTGAAACCACGAAAGGCCCCCGCAGCTGCGGCGTGTGTGTATGTGTTTCTTTCTTCTTTTGGGGGTCCCTTCTTTTTATCCTGACTGCGGGACCATTTTCCTCCCCCATTCATCTTTCTATTGACATTTGGGACGGCGGTAGACTCGGAGCTGCAATCTCTCCTCCTGAGATGCCCCTCAAGCTCTCCAATACCCCCTCCCTTTTCGGCTCGCACCGTGTGAGCGTGTATGCGAGGTCACGTCGATGTTGGTGGCAAGTGAGGCTGCAGCCCTCGCCAAACCTGTTCTTCCTCTCCCGGTCCCCAGAAGTCCCTCCAGCTGACCGGACTTACGCCTGGCAGCGCTTGGCACACGCAGCGCTGGGGCTGAGTCGGTGCCAGGCGCAGCCAGGCAGCAGCGGCGCGAGCGACCGTGTCCTCCGTGGTGTCGATTCTCTTCCAGCTCCTCCTCCCAGGGCGCACGGCAGCTACCCCCCTGGGCTGTCTTCCAGCTGTTGCCCTTGGGTCCCGAGGGCTTTCTAGAGTGAAATCGAAGGTGAAAGAAACAAGAGGAGGGCGGGAGGTGGGTAGGAGGAGCCTCGGGCCTCAGGGAGCTGGGAGGAGCCTCCAGCCAGGGGGTAGTGTGGGAGGAGCCTCGGGGGGCGGGGGAGGATCTGGGTGGAGAAAGGGGCCGGGCAAAGCCGGGATGGAGGGCTGGCCACGCAGGCGCGGGGGGCCGCGCGGAGAACCCCACGCGGGAGCTTCGGGAGTCTCCAGCCACCGCTCCTCACTTCACTGGAGAAGGGGCTGGGGCGGGGAGGGAGCTAATAAAGAGTGAATGAGCGGCAGCCGCTGTGGCGGCCGGAGTCAGCCCGAGCAGCACCGGAGCCGTGAGCCCGGGAGGCGGCGAGGGGAGGCGGTTCGCCTTGTCCCTCCTACCCGCCCCTCTTTCTCTCTCTTCCTCCAGCTGGTCCCAGAACCCTGCTGGGTCCGGTCCCTCTGCCCCCCTCCCGCATTCTTCCACCTCCTCCGAGTCCCACTCCTCACCTAGGGCGCCCCGAACTGCCATGGGTTAGGGTGGGGGCCGCGAGCCTCGCGAAGGACCAGCCCTGTGCATCCGCCGGGGGGCGCGAAGCCCGAAAGACGCCAGTCGCTCGCGGGCGCCGGGCATGGGGAGCGTGGTGTGAACCCGCACCCAGAGAGGACGCAGCGGCTGCGGAGACGGGCGCGAGGAGGAGGAGAGCGGTGGACTGCAAGGACCCGAGGGAGGAAGGGAGGGACAAGAGGGTGGGGAGCTAGGAAAAAGTGAAGCTGGGAGGAGAAGGCGGCGGAAGGTGGGGATTGATGCTTCTGTTTTTTGTTGCCGCTGCTGCCCTCGCGCTGGGAGCCGAGCCGGAGGGAAGGCGGTGGAGAGATGATTGCAGAGTTGGTGAGCAGCGCTCTGGGGCTCGCCTTGTATCTCAACACCTTGAGTGCGGATTTCTGCTATGATGACAGGTAAGGGGGTCGGCGGGCTGCGTGGGGACTCCGCGGTGGCTCAGAAGCTTCCCGCTTTAAGGCTGAAGTGCGTCTTGGAGGAACTGGTCCAGCACCTGAAGGTTTAGGAGACGCGTAAACAACACCCAGAGCAAACACCGGGGAAGCGAGCGCGCTGGGCGGTCTGAAGGAGTTTGGGTTCCTAGTTTGCAGCACGTTCTTTCTCTTGCTTATTGGCTGCTGGCGAACGCTTAAGTTTCTTATCGGAAATCGCAGCAATCTGGGGACCTGTTAATGATCATATTAAATGGGGGAAAAAAAAGTCTTAGGTCTTTGTTGGTGCACATTGAGTGATTTTACGTCTGGGCTGGAAGGAAGCCGCTCCCCTCCTCTTAATAGATCTTCCCTGTAGCTCTTCCTTTTACTGATGGGACACTTTTATTTCCCGGGGGAAAAAACCACACCTTTGACAGTTACCAAAATAGTGGAAGGAGAGAATCGTACTCTGCTGCAACTTTCCCGTTGGACGTCTACGGTACTTACAGATAATGCTGCTGATGGGCTCTCCGGCTCCCCCCGCCTGGCTCACCAATCGATGGAGTAGCACTTTATAAAAGCCTGGGCTTTCATTTCTGTTTGGGAGTTTTACATTAGACGTTAGCGGTTCTTTTGTGCTAATTGGGGAAGAAGACGCCCCTAGAGACTGAAGTTGTCTTCTGCATTTGGGCTAGTTTGGGTGGCTAATGAGACCTGAACTGTGTTGTCAAAGAAACTGCATCGATTTCTGGAAAATGTCACAGTTGTGCTCGTGTCTCTACCTATTTTTTAAATGTTGTTAGTGTTTAGAAACTGATGAAAAGCTCCAATAGCCATTAGGGAAAATTCCAATTTGTGCCTTTCCGGTGACTTAATCTGATTACAATTAAAACAGATGCATAATTAAAATATATTAGGGAGAACAGCACGCCTGGCTAAACTTATTAACCGTCCTGGGGTGTTTCATGCTCCATTGAAATTAAACCATCCAAAAAGTGAGCACAGATTTACTTTGACAGCTTTTCAGCAGCCTCTCTGGGCTATGGAAAGCAAATGGATCCCCAGGGTCAAGGCAAGGCAGAGTGAACTTAAGCAAAGTGGTTGATAGTGAGGGCAAGTGAAGGCAGAATCTTCTCTGGGTGGTAATTAGCCATGTTCTGTATTCTCTGGTGTGCCCACTCCCCGGCTAAAAGCATGTTCATGGATATATGCTTGAAATCCGTGAGTCTAAGTTTACACCCACATGTCTGTTATGAAATCCCCTGATAATAGGTGCAATGAAATAAAGCAAACTCTTCTTAATGCATTTTATGTAGTGTCTGTCAGAGACTGGTTGATAAGGAAGCCACTGTTAGACATAAACTTTTCCTTAACTTTTAAGCAGTGTATAGATCTAGCAATTATGATACATGGTCTGAGAAATAAATGGTCTTTGTGTAAGAATGAGGTGAGCTGCTCTGTTCTTTCCACTTCTGTGTTATTGTGCACCTGCTCTTTCTAGGGAATGGGGAAAAAAAAGGCTCTTGACAGGGAAGAAAAAGGAATGGTAAGAAACAGCTCTTCCTTCCAAAGATGGGCGACTTTTCACTAAAACGAGCTCGGGGATGAATCTGGGTAGTTCTTGGTTCTGTTGGGGACAGTTTGAGAAGTAGTCATTTAAACTAAGAATAAAGAGTTTGGGAAAAAAAGTAGCTTGCTGTAGTACAGTAAGTATTGTAGAATACTGTGATAAGTCAGGCATTCCCAGTGTATGCTATCCTTTATTGCTGTTCAGTTCTTTAAAAATTATATCTCAGAAGAAAGCATCCTGTAAAATATGAAGACTTGAACTAAATGAAATTTGTGTGTACATTTTTTCTGTAGATTTAATTATTATGTGTTCTTTAATCATCGGTCAGTAGTGTTAGGACTTTATAACTTGGGGAGAACAATGTGAGTGAGGGGATAAATTAGTTGTGCTTTGATGGTGGGCTTGCTCAATATATGACATATAGACATTATATTACCGTTGTGATGTTCAGAGCCTGTAAATATAAATTGCACTTGGCCACAACATGGAAGTGTATGTTAGTCTAAGTTTCTTAGTAGCAGAACCTCATATGCAGTCCTATACTCTTAAGAGTGTGCAGTCTTAACAGAATCAAACTTAGTTTTTATGTATCCTAGAAATTCTGAAATGCCTTTGAGTAGAAGCGTGGAACTTGCTGGATGTCTGCATAGCATGCACAGTGCCAAGGTGCTCTGTAAATTGTGGCTTTTCGGATATACTTTTTATCTGCCTCCTCTAACTCACTGGTATGTGGAGCGGGGAGAGAGCTGGGGAGTCAAGTGGAAACTGTAGGATGATGATAATGTGTTTACTTCCACTGCTCCATTTCAGACTACAAAGACTCAAGTTTAAAACGTTGTGTAAACAGCATCTGTGGATTCCACTGCGCTGACTCCCCCTGCCCCCTCAAGAACTTTGTGAAATAGAGTTCTAGGAGGAGAAAGGCCAGTGCTGGGAGCAGCTCACAAGGAGGGAGATGGCTCTTACGCTTGACTTGCTTAACTAAATCAAGACTCTGCATTTTAGCTGAAGAATCTGGCATTTGCTATAGGAGGGCTTTATATTGCTTCAGCTTAAACATTAATGCTGTGGTACTTCTCAAAGTTATCATTTCTTTTAAATATAGTGATCAAGTTTACTTTGTAAACTACATATATAATTTCTTTCACTGTTTGATGTAGCTTGGTTGAGATTAAGTGGTAACCTGAAACTTTTTTGTAGCAAAATCGATTTCCCTATGGTAAAACTTAATATTTTACAAGTGTCTTAATGCTAAACTTAAGAATATGGCTAGGATGTGATGAAAGAAACAGAAGAGTAGAATTCGTCATATCTGATGAAAAAGCATATATAGCTTCATCCCCCTCTTCATCCCTTTGCCTTCAGTCTAGTCATGATTGTATTGAATCTTAAATTGTGGTTAGAGTACAGTTGGAATGATAAATAAACAGTCTTTGCCAAATTCTAAGTCATCATGAATGTGACATCTTGAAGGATAATCTCATTTTCTGGAGAAATTTGGTGTTTAGGTCAGTGGAAAAAAAACTTGCTGATCCCAAGTTCTCTGCTCTCTTATATATTTATTGAGGATAACATTGCATCATTTTCACCAACTCCGCTTTAAAAGTACTATTAGAAGTTTTGCATAGAGATAACGCTAAAAGAGGAGTCCGTTTATTTCAGAGTAGAAGAAGGATGCCATATCTATTGTTTTGTAGTCTGAATTCTTTTTGTACATATCACCTAATTGATGGCAAGACCTTTATGATGTATAACAAGTAAAAAGATAATCAGCTAATACATATTTTTATTCTTGGGTGAATAAAATCATGCATTACTTAAAAAAAGATAATTTGAGTTTTGGGAAGTGGGAAGTGGGTTTGTGGCTGCTTTGAAAATTGTTTTCCTTTTTGCCCATTTTGCATTTGTTCAACCTAACCTTGATCATTAACATGACCTTTGGGTTTCTTAGCTATCTCATTGTGCAATAATTGTGTGAAATTTGGAGGAGCAACTCCACAGCCAAAATTTCTAATTTTGAATCAAAACTACCCCAAACTCTTAATAGCATGTTCCTAATTTAGTTATTCACTTGGATGTAAATATAAATCTGATTTTATAGAGACACGAGTTAATTCGAAGTCATAAAGATTTTGACTAACAGCATTTAAAATGAAGGAATGGAGGCGTGATAACTTTTTTTTTAAAACCATTTTTTCTTAAAGATATTCAACTATTCCTTCTAATTGACCTTTTGAAGTGACTATCTGTTTGGGTTTTGAGCTGGTATGATAAGAATCCCTTATGAAATGATCAATCACTCTGTTAACTTTCCTCTAAAATATTCTCTTTAATAGACTTGCAGTGGACCAATCTGGGATTGTTACCTTACAGTTCTAGTATGTTCAACCACTGAAGTCGTGCTTGGTATTTAGAAAATCCTGTTTAGGAAGAATTGCTCTAAGATCAAGTATAGAAGGAAGAAGTTTGTTTTGTATCCAGGTTGTCCCCTCAGGTCTTTATTGGAAGAAGTTACTGTGTACAAGGGTGCTATTTGACCGATTTCCTTCCAAGTTTATGATACATTGGAAAATATGCAAGTGATTACAGTTTATAGTTTATATATTTTAATATATTATAATATTATAACATATAATATAATGTAATATTATATTTAATATTTTAATATGATCTTTTACTTCCTAACAAAGTTTAGTCAGATCTATGCAGAACAGGTTCATTTTGCTGCTTGAACAAGTACATCTTTTAATAGTAAATTAAAATTAGGTGAAGCCAGTATGGACTACTTTGCCTTACTTTCAGTGAGCCTGTCACATGGGGTTTATCCTAGCAAATGACCCAAATACAAGCACTGAATGGACATGTATAAATGCCATTGGGAAAATTATGACTTGCCAGCCATCTGTCTCTTAGTTGTCTTTATCTATGTGTGTATGTGTGTGTGTGTGTGTGTGTATAATGTATATATTATAATAATATTATAGTATTATAATATTATTATAGTTTTTTTGGGGGGGTTATATTATTAGTTTACATTGGTATTCTCTGTTTAGTTTTTTAGGGCTAATGTGCCCCTGCGGGAACACTGAATTCCCTGAAGCTATAATTCTGAAATAGCTAGAACCTTTTGGATTATTCCAACATGAGTTAGGAGTACAGTTTGTCTTCTGAATCTCTCTCTGTTGCTGTTTTGTACATTAAAAGCACTTATTTAAAATGCCCATGATGTTACTGCTGTTTATCATAAGCAAAGGGTACATTCCTCGGGAACAGGCCCTTCATAATATTAGGAAAAGACAAAGTTTACCCTTGTCACTCTGAAAAATGACAAACCTTTCAACACTATTATTTTCACTTAATAGGCTTTTAACACAGCAACATTTACCTTTTAAATTTTTTGGTTTTCTCTTGTAAG